GAGTCTCCTGCCTCAGCCTCCCAAGTAGCTGGGACCACAGGCGCCTGCCACAGTACCCGGCCATTTTTTGGTTGCAGCCATCGTTGTTTGGCGGGCCGGGCTGGGGATTCGAACCCGCCACCTTAGGTGTATGTGGCTGGCGCCTTAGCCGCTTGAGCCACAGGCGCCGAGCCCTCTTTTGAGTTCTTTTTGTGGAATATACCTTCCAACTAAGGCAATCAGTTATTTTGTTAATGTTTTTGTGTTACATTTTTATGCATTGGACATACTGTATAAATGACTTTACTGATTTGTGTACTTTTTCCAAATTTCCCCTCTTTCAGAACCTCTTACTGATTACCTGTGTGTCAAGCCTTTCATATGCATGTATACTCATACTTTTAGAGTTTATATTAGGACTCTGCATCTTCACACCATTTCATTAAGTGAACAGTTTCAAATAGAACAACACATTCCAATTTCATTGTTTGTCATAAATGTTTGACTGTTCTAAAAGTGCCAATTATGGTAAGTTATCTTAGAGTGACTCTGGGAAGGACTCTATCCAGGCATTTCATATTAAAAGTGGTATTTGGGACTATGAAATTTGGGCATGTGCAGACATTTCGTGGTGGATTATATTGTGATAACCATTTCTATGAAATTACTTGGGCTTTTTGATTCTGAAATGTACTTACTGGGGAGGAAGAGGTTAGAGAAGGGAATTATTAGATCCTTGATAGCTTTACAGTGTTGGCCAGAACTTTTCTATACCTTAGTCATTTCCCCTGGCTTGAGAACCATTAGAGAAAAAAGAACAACTGTGATTAGCACTTCCCTCCCTAGCCGGTTAGTACAGAAGTCTTAGTAGTTTTTCTTTGTTCCTTTTTTAAAATCAGAAAATGATGAAGATTGATTGTAATAGGAATGCAGGGAAAATGTGTCCTTCTGTTGACTAGACCATACCAGCAGGAGTAGCTTAGATGTAGCCTATTTCAGCAAGGTGGGCCCACAAAGCCAAAGATGCTACAAAAGTCACATATGGAATGAGCTAGCATTTTGTCTGTTATTGTTTCCAAGATTTCTATAGCACCAATTTATACTCAGCAGCCAAGGAAGTGGGAGATATAGGAAGATCCTTTGCTACTGGCCGACTTCTGGAGTCAAGCATTAAGCAAAGGAAAAGAGGTTTTCCTTAAGAACTGAGATGCCAAGAGCTGGTTTAGATAAAAGTTACTGGTTAAAATTTTACAGTGCAAAATTTTTGAAAAGTAAGCTGGGGCTTTCTTGCTCTGATTATTCTTTTACTCTATAAAACTCTGGGTTGCAATGTAGCTTGCCATCATTTCAGAAAGCATTTTTTAAACAAATGATAGTTTTATTATTTTGATTAAAACAAGAACTACAATAGTAATAACACTGACTTTTAAAAATTATTATTTAAAATAGATAATATATTCAAATAACTCAGAACTTAAAAGATGTAAAATACATAGCGAAAAGTTTCCCTTGTGCCTGTCCTTCAGCCACTGAAGCCATCTCCCCATGGACGGGCAGTGCTACCAGTTTCTTCATTCTCCTTCTGGAGATGGTCTGTAATAGCTGAAATATTCTGGTGTTTTATGAGATAGTGGGTAGTATGCATTATACGTCTTAATCTCCTGATTAACTGTAAGATAAATGAATCATCTACCTACATATACTTTCTAGTTTTCCACAACTAGTGTCCTAAACATTCATCACTTTTAAATCCCTGACATCAGCCCTTTGTAGTCTTGGCAGCAGCATTGTCTTCTATGTCAGAAAGTGAAGAAGACTGTCAAGTATGAACTCTGTCAATTTTTGTACTGTCAGCTTCTAAATATAGTATTCTCCCATCATTTTGCATTTTCTCCTTTTTTTTTTTGGCCTGGGCTGAGTTTGAACCTGCCACCTCTGGTATATGGGGCTGGTGCCCTACTCCTTTGAGCCACAGGCACCGCCCTGCATTTTCTCTCTTTCTCTCTCTCTCTCTCTCTTTTTTTTTTTTTTTTGGCAGTTTTTGGCCAGGGCTGGGTTTGAACCTGCCACCTCCAGCATAGGGGGCCGATGCCCTCTCCTTTGAGCCACAGGCGCTACCCTGCATTTTCTCTTTTATAATGAGTTGTTCTTCCTGTCTTCTAAGGCTGTTGCTTCCATATGTGCTCTTGTCCCATCTCTCCCAGTGGGATCTTGTTAGATTATTCTTTCCTTTTGTAACTTGATCTTATTAAGCTATACACATGCTTATAAACTACTGTTCATCCACTTTAGGCTGCTACCTACTTTCTAATCTTTACCACTAGTTACTTCCTGAAAAACTAACCTGTCCAGCTTTTCTGTTCTATTCTTCTCATATTAACGATGGTCTGATCCCATGTATCTAGTACGACTATTTTTGCTAAGGTTACCATCAACCAAATTGGCAAATTCCTGGCCTATTTTCCATTGTTACCCTGTTGGAGCTCTTTTTAGCATGTGCTGGTTACGCCTTCCCCAAGCCTTTCATGTTGGCTTCTGTGGCACCCCTCTTTTAGTTTTCCCCACCCAGCTGCTGGTTCTTGGTGTTTCTACTGCCTTCTCTTTCTCTGTTCACTCTCTTAAGGTAAAACCTGTGGTTTTGACCACTACAACCTTACATTGAAGACTTTCAGATCTCATTTCTAGCCACCTATTTTACTGAGCTCCGTACTTAATATTTCCAGCTCTTCACAGAATCACTTCATCTGAATGCACCATATATACCTTAAATTTCATCTGTCAGAAATGGAATTCAGCATTACCATCCATCTCATTTCCGTAAATTATTTCCTGTTTTGATAGGCTCCAGAGATTTGAGCTGTTGTGTTAGGCCTTCCATTTCTTTTTTTCTAAAATCCATTAATCAAGTTCTAGAGATGATTCTCCAAACTATTTCTCAAATATACCCTTTCCTCTTTATTTCTACAGCTTATGGTTCCAGCCTCCCTGTCTCTGATCTCTTTTTCTACTTTTGAATCTCTTCCTAAAAGTTATGAACTTAAATCTTACTAAATGATATTATTAAGAATACTTAAAATGTAACTTAAAACACAGTTTCACAAGACATTAAATGAAGGTTTGAATGCCTTCTCAAGTACACGAGCTAATTCCTAGAGAAATGATGCTTTCCTGAAGTTTAGAGGTTTAAATGTAAAATTTGTTCACATTTCTAAAAAACTTTGAGGTAGAGTTTATGTTTTGTAAAATTAACCTTTTTTAAGCATATAACTAGTAAGTTTACCCAGTTGTGCAATATGAATTTTGATTTAGAACATTTCTGTCATCCTAGTAAGGTCCCTGATAACATATTTTAAAACAATTTCTTCTAAATTATGTGACAGGCTTTCATAGGAAAGTTTTTCTTTTATTCAAATGGAAATCTTTATAGGCTGATAATATGGCATTAGGGAAAATCCATCTATGCCTGTACTTGCTTTCACATTGTAGTCATAGAGTTGAGAAGTTGCAATAGAGACTTTATGGTCTGCACAACCATGTTTGCTGTTTGGCTCTTTACAGAAAAATTTTATCAACGGTTGCTCTGAAACCTTACAATCCAAAATGTGATCTGAATACCAGCAGCCTTGGCATATCCTGGGTGCTTATTTCTAATACGGAATTTCAGGCTTTACCCTAGACCTAAATCAATTCTGCCAGATCCAGAGAACTGATGTACACATAACTGTTCAAGATGCCCTGCTCTGGGTATTCTATTTGAACTAATAAGGGACAGTGGAATTCATATTACTAATCCCAGTAAAGCCATGAAGAAGCAATATTTTGCCCCAAATCTAGTGAGGCCTTTATTTTTTAAGGATGTATGTTTCTCTCGTAATAATCCCTTTTTAATGTTTTTCTTAGGCAGAAGATAAAGAGGAAGAAGATGTATCTGGTGAACCTGAAGCTTCTCCAAGTGCAGATACAACTATTCTGTTTGTAAAAGGAGAAGGTAATACAGAAATATTAGTTTTAATTCAGATTTAGAAATTTTAAAATGACAAACTTGACTTTTTTGGGACCCTTGTTAATGCTAAAGATCTTTATTAATCATCTTCTATATAACAAATATATTATTAATTTTGATTAAAAACCTCACATATATAAGTACCTATATCTGTAAGGTAGTGTTACTGATATTTAAACTAAGGGGAAAAACAAATATTGCTCAGTTGACTAGAAATTAAATTCCTTTTCAAAGATAATGTTTTTCAGGAGAGGAAAGTGGAATGGAGGGCAAAAACTGACCTAATGAGTGCAATGAATATGATTCGAGTGATGGACTGACCTATAGCTGTGACTTAAGCATTGCATAAGTGATCCATGAAATCAAAAATATTTGTACTCCCTTAATATTCTGAAATTTAAAAAAAAACTTTTTCCAACTGCTACAGCAAAGTAACTGTGTTACATTTTGAGTGTTAAACATTAATGAAATATTAAATCTTTTCCATTAAGCCTAGGTTTCATTAAAATAAATGTAATGGCTAATATTTATTGAGGGTTGTATGGTAGGCACTGTTCCTAATACTTTGTAGTTATTATCTAATCCTAACAAACCTTATGAGCATAGTTACTGTTAAGCTGAGACTTAGAGAAGTTAAGAAAGTGGTCCAGGGTTACTCAGTTCATAAATAGACCGTGGAGACAATCTTACCCCGCATTCTGTACTGTACTGGGCGAAACTCAGCTGGAGACTGTAGTATAATTAGTGCAGACTTAATATTGAAAAATACTAATTTTCTTGGTCATTTCATGTTTTTGGTTTTGTTCCCATGTACTTGACAACTTTATGCCTGAAAAAGTATAATTGATAAAGCGATTTTTGTTTTTATTTATTTTTGTATGTGCCTCAGGTCTTCAAATTTTCACTTTGACTAATTGCTTAACATGGACATGGATCATCTGATTAATTTTTTTGTGTCTTTACAAATACTAGTTTTCAGATGAACCTCCTGGACTTTATCATTCCTCTCTCCATTTTTCTATGCAGGTAGCATACTGAGTTACAGGTGAAAATGATTTCATTAAGACATGAAACTCTGGTAAGGTACTCTTGCTGCTAAAAGTTATACAACTCTGGCTCAGTGCCTGTAGCTCAGCAGCTAGGGTGCCAGCCACATACACTGGAGGTGGTGGGTTCGAACCCAGCCTGGGCCTGCCAAACAACAATGACAACGCCAACCAAAAAGTAGCTGGGTGTTGTGGTGGGCACCTGTAGTCCCAGCTACTTGGGAGGCTGAGGCAAGAGACTCGCTTAAGCCCAAGAGTTTGAGGTTGCTGTGAGCTGAGACACCACGGCACTCTACCTAGTGCAACATAGTGAGACTCTGTCTCAAAAAATAAAAAAAGTATACAGCTCTTTCTGAGACTGCATAAATTGAATGTGATTTGGTCTGAAATTCAGGTGCTCAGTTCAGCTCTGTTGGAATACTAGAGTATAGATAAAAGTTTCAGCTAGTGCACTAACTCTCATCAGTTTCTGTTAGTGGGTGGCACTATTGAAAAGGATTCTAAAACTATGCAGCAGGAAAAGGTGTCAGAATCCATTAGTAATGTCGTCTTTTTATCTTGAACTCTTGGCCTGTGTTCATATTTTCTTATCTCTATTTTGTTTCTCAGATTTTCCAGCAAATAACATTGTGAAGTTCCTGGTAGGCTTTACAAACAAGGGTACAGAAGATTTCATTGTTGAATCCTTAGATGCTTCATTCCGTTATCCTCAGGACTACCAGTTTTATATCCAGAATTTCACAGCTCTTCCTCTGAACACTGTAGTGCCACCCCAGAGACAAGCAACTTTTGAGTACTCCTTCATTCCTGCAGAGCCCATGGGGGGACGACCCTTTGGTCTAGTCATCAATCTCAACTATAAAGATTTGAATGTAAGCCCCTTTAAATCCTCTTTTTCTTTTTTTAGGTTAAAAATGAATGGAGATAATTGACATTGTTAAGCTTTCCCTTTTTCTGTTTATTTAGTATGAAAGTAACTACGAAAGTTTTGAGACAGAGTGTGTTGTGGTCCATTATTGCACTTCCAAAAAATACAGTCGATAGCAGTGTCCTTTCTGATTTCACCTGTGCAAGATTCAGCTTGCTTGGCTTATTGGTGTTGTTGGGGGGGACATTATTGACATTGTTTCCCTTCACATGCCACTCAGTTAGTGTCAGCTGTGGAGCTAGGAAGAGAGCACTTTGGTGCCATGATTTTAAAAGTGGGTTAAACAAGTCTCCAAGACCTGAGTGTTTGTAACAGGCTTTTGGGGACCTTACTCCTTCCCACACAATAATTTTTCCATCATTTCAAGAATTTAGAAGAGGCTCAATCTCACTGAAATACGAGGAGAGGAATGGGCATCTGGTGACTAAGGAAAACATCACTGCTGTGGAAAAAAAATGGTTCCAGAAACCAGTTGAGTGACACTTACATTGAACTGGCACTGCAGATTGGATGGCCAGTACTGTCCAAAATCCTGCACGATTATCTTCATGTCAGGAGACTTTCATCCCAGTGGGTGCCTCGTACTTTGACAGATGAGGAAAAGAGTATCTGTGTTGAATGGTGTGAAGAAATGCTGGTCACGTTGAATGGAGGCAAGTCTAGTTGCCATTTCTGGCATTGTTAACTGCTGATGAAACTTGGATTTACAGTTTGATTCAGAGAATAAACATCAGTTGACTGTGGATTGTTCCTGATGAAAATCCACCAACAAAAGAAAAGTGGTGCTGAAATGTCAGAATGAAAATGACATTCTGAAATAACTTTCTTCTCCAAAAGGGTCAGGTTGCAGCTGCTACTCTGGAGGAGCAAAGGGCTGTTACTGCTCGTGGTACACAACAGAATGACTACCAAAAGGTTTTGGGAAGCTCCAAGAATGGTGGTCAAGGACAGAACTGTGGGAGACCTTCTTGCGTCATGACAGTGTGTCCACCCACACAGCCAGTATCACCATTCGGTTCCTCGGAGTCCACAGAGAAATTATGGTCCCGTGTGATTACTTTTTGTTCCCTACAGTAAAATCACATACGCAGAAAAAGATTCTCCAGCCTGGAAGAAGCTGTTCATGCCTACAAAAGTGAGCTTATATAAAGCACTTGAAGAAAATGAGTGGAAAGAATGTTTCCAAAAATGATTTATAAGAATGCAAAAGTGTATAGAATGCCACGGTGATTATTTTGAGAAAATATAGCAATCATAATGATCTCTTGTTTCTTAATTTTTATATGTCTCAAAACTTTCATAGTATCCCCTGTAGAGACAAGGAAGGGTTTTTATCCAAGTAGAATTAAATGTAATCCAACAAGCACGGATGTATCTTCAGTTCCATTTTGAATGTTAGCATATTCTAATTCTTGGAATTGTCATAGAGGAATGCAAACTGAAAGATCTTGAAGTAAGACTTAGTAATTATAGTTCAGCAAAAAAGTAATTTTGAGAAAGTGCTATACAAATGTGAAGTGTCAACCACTGAGAACTGTCATTGTGTTGCCTCAGTGATTCTGATGTATTTGAAAACTAAAATTGTGTTGAACTAACAATTTTTAAGTTTTAAGACTGTAACAAAAATTTGATACTGAAAATCACCCATTAATTAGAAAGAAATTGGTATCTAACCCCATATCAGTTTAGAACATGAATTTGATTTTTGTTTAGGTCTTGAAATGATCTACCTCTGCAGTTACTGTTGTACATAGTAATACATCTTTCTTTGTTTTGGAGAATTGCAAATAACAGAAGGTAAAGCTGCTGATACAAGAATACTTCATAAGCTTTGTTTCTTTCTGCACATTTTATCTCATTTTTACTTTGTTTTCCTGGTTCCTCATACCACATCCCTCTCTCACCTCCACTCCAAAGAAAGTAGGGACCACTAGGTCTTACTCTTTCTCAGGATGGACTTAAATTCCTGGGCTTGAGATCCTCCCACTGCAGCCTCTTGAGTAGCTGAGACTATAGAAACCTCCACATGTCCAGCCTGGCTACAATTTTATTTTATAGGAGAAAGTAACACAGTAATGTTGAGTGGCTGACATTGAATAGTGTAATTGCATATGACTGTTGCGTCTTACCTTTTAAGTGCTGAGAAAGCAATAGTGGATCTGTTAGGGTAACAGTTTGAGTAACTTTAGATTTCAGATTTTTGTGATTTTTTTTTTAATAGGGCAATGTATTCCAAGATGCAGTCTTCAATCAAACTGTTACAGTTATTGAAAGAGAAGATGGGTTAGACGGAGAAACGTAAGTTGCAGTATGTAGATCTTATAAAGTTGGACTGGAAGGTTTGCTTCTGTTGCAGCATATTCTTAAAAATGGTGATAATTGAATGGATTATATAGATTTGGTGAAATCCTTACTAAATTTATTCATACTGTAGATGATTCCTACAACTAGGAAAAATAGGGAAAACTTATAAAAAATATTTTTAAAAAGGCAGTTGGCTTTCTGTCCTGCTTCTCTTCTTTCTTACCACCAAGCTCATCATAAGCTGTTCATCAGCATTAAGCTAAGTCTGTAATTACTATTGAAAATATAAATTAGAAGACTTGATGTTGAAAAAAATGTTCTTTCTGAATGATGTATCATTCTTACCATAACTTACGTGTCATATAGTCACATTGTATAAGATAAATGTAATGTTTGAGACATATAAAACATAACACAATTAATTTAAACTGTGAGCATTGAATATAGCATACATTATGAAGTAATTCTATTCATTTTAGATCATAGAATTGCTTTTTTATGGACTAATTGCTATTAAATATAAATTAAATTTTATAGAACTATTCATAATTAGCTGTGGTATTTCCTATGAATTAAAGCCAGTTTATATTTCTTTTATGCCAGAATTTTTATGTATATGTTTCTTGCTGGTCTTGGGCTTTTGGTTGTTATTGGCCTTCATCAACTCCTGGAGTCTAGAAAGGTAATTATATATGATTATCTCTTATAGTCATTTTTCAAAAGTCACTGTAGTACTAAGTTAAGCATAATCTAGTTCTTTGTGGATTTTTGCTCTTGACTATTGACTTGTACACTTAGAGCTTAGTTGAACCTTTTAAAAATAAAACCTAATAGGCTCGGCGCCCAAAGCTCAAGTGGCTAAGGCACCAGCCACATACAATGGAGCTGGCGGGTTCGAATCTTGCCCAGGCCCACCAAACAACAATGACAACCATAACCAAAAAAAATAGCCGGGCTTTTTGGCAGGCACCTATACTGCCAGCTACTTGGGAGGCTGAGGCAAGAAGATCGCTTAAGCCCAAGAGTTTGAGGTTGCTGTGAGCAGTGATGCTATGGCACTCTACCAGGGCAACAGCTTGAGACTCTTTCTCAAAAAAAAAAAAAAAGAAAGAAAAAAACCGAAAACACCTGATAATGATACCTTGGACCTGTAACTTGAATAGATTCAGATTTTCATATACATACAGGATTCTGGTCTTGTGTCCCACCAGAGTGATTTTTACTGTTATTGTAGCTCTTAATTCTGCTAGAAGTTTTATTCCTCAAATGCATAAAGATTACATTTTCCTGTTTACTGTGTTTTTGCATGGATGTGCTATTTTATCTGTACCAGTGGTGGCCAACCTGTGGCTGCGTATAGATTTATGTGAGGACTTCTTGCTTATCTCTGTGTGGTGGTGGATATTACAAAAAATATGCATGGCCCTGTTTGTTGTTGTTGCTCATCACCTTTTATTAATGTAGACAGTTCTTCCAGTGTGGTACAGAGAAGCTTGAAAGGTTGTACACTCCTGCAAGCAATCCAGCTTTTGTATTTGCCTTGTACTTGTAATTACAGAAAGAATTTTTCATACATTCATTATAAATTTTATTTTTCAAATTTGTGTTTGCTGAATCAAACTTCTGTTTTTGTGATCAGGGAAGTAAGGTGTACCATTCTGATTGTCCCTTCCAAATCCTAACTCCTTTCTCCTGTTTCCCTCACTTCATTTTCCCTTCCTCCTCCCCTCCCTCCCCCCATCTTCTTCCCCTCCCATCTCCTTCTTTATGTCTTTGCCTTCCCCATGTCCTTGCCTTCCCCGTCCCTCTCCTCCCCATCTCCTTCCCTTTTCCTCCCCTTCTCCCCATCTCCTTCCCTTTTCCTCCCCTTCTCCTCCCCATCTCCTTCCCTTCCCCTTCTCTTCCCTTCCCCTTCCCTTTTCCTCCCCATCACCTTTCTTCAGCCCCCTACTCCACAAAAACAACAAATGCATAGAAATCCTGCTAGGGGCTTGTTTTTTGGGAAACACAGTACACATGTGCTCTAGGGAGAACATTTGAAGCTATTAGATCAAATTGAGGTTATTAGCTTAAATGAGATTTTATGCTTTTGTTTATGTGTGCCAAGTGTTTAACTGTATTTAGCTTAAAATGCAGGAACTGTCCACATGCAACATTTAAGCAGTTACCTTGAATTTTATCAAATGTGGAAATAAATTTATTTTTTAATTATAATTTGATTCCCAAAGGGAAAGAAAATCATTGTATAAATAGACATTCTTCTTTGATCTACTAATGATATAATATATGAAGGTTTTATAGCAAGGGAAAATTCTTGAAACTCTAAAAAAATGTTCTAACATTTATTATCATTTATTCTTTATAGTTAGTACTAGATATGATTTTCCCCATCTAGTTAATAAAGACTTTGAGGGAGGACCTTGTTTTAAGACTAGAAGAATCTTAAAAATTAAGCAATGTAATGGAACTACTTTTAAATATGCTTTTATGTTCTCTTAGCGCAAGAGACCCATACAGAAAGTGGAAATGGGTACATCAAGTCAAAATGATGTTGACATGAGTTGGATTCCTCAGGAAACTTTGAATCAGATCAGTAAGTAGTCTAACAAACTTAGCTGGGAATGTTTCTCTTAATTGGAAATTAAATATCTTACATTTAGCAAAAAGTGCTTGATTAGTACTATTTAACATGCATCTCTTCCATTGCTTACACAGAATCTAGCATAATGATTAGTGAAGATCTATAAAGATGTATTTTGTGTGTAGTATTTACTAGGCTTTATTTTTGAAATGCTTCCAAATCTGCAGTTTATTTACAAATGTGTGAATTTTCTATATTCCTAATCTGTTTTCTGTCTCTTCTCTTTCCTTTTGCTTCAGTGCAAAGTAGAAGAGGTGAGGCATTTAATTTTTTTAATGTTGTTTGATAGAGTATCGGGGGCTCTTATATAGCACATAAATACCTTATAGCAAGTTTAATGAGTAACGGAACAGTTTTTAGTGCTGTATTTTATTAGAAAAACTACCCATTACAGTTTTTAAGAATAAAGGTAAAGTATTATTTGGTAATTTACCTAACATATATATAGCAGTTTTATTACATATGCAATTTGTTAAAATAGTAATCTTTCGACTCGGCGCCTGTGGCTCATGCGGCTAAGGCGCCAGCCACATACACCTAAGGTGGCGGGTTCAAATCCCCAGC